GGGGGAGATGTTATAGTCCCCAACGGAACGACTACGGAGTTCCCCAGACCGCGAGGATGGCGGTCCCGGCGCCCCGAGCCGCTCCTGCTGCTGTGGGGGCCCTGCCCTGACGAGACCGGGCCGGGTGAGTGCGGTCGAGGGGCGGCGTGTGCGGGGGGAGGGGGCCGCGGCGGGCGGGGGCGCAGAGCGGGCGCGGCGCGGAGCGGGTCGGGTCTCAGCCGCTTCCCAATACTCCGGCCCCTCCCGCTCCACCCACGGCGCCCGCGGCTCCATCCTCGGACTCGCCGCGTCGCTGTCGAACCGCACGAACTGCGTGTCGTCCACGTAGCCGACGGAGATGAAGCGGGAATCCCCGCGGCCGGGCCGGGACACGGAGGTGTAAAAATACCTCAGGGAGTGGGAGCCTGGGGGCGGGGAGCGGCTGAGACCCCGACCCGCCTCCCGCGCCGCGCCCGCTCCTGCGCCCCCGCCCGGCCCGGCGGCGCCCTCGCTCCGCCCGCACACGCCGCCCCTCCGACCCGCACTCACCCGCCCGGGTCTCCGTCAGGGCCAGGGCCCCCCACAGCAGCAGGAGCGGGGCTCGGGGCGCCGGGACCGCCATCCTCGCGGTCTGGGGAGACTCTGCGTCCGGGCGGGTCCGCGGGGACTTTATAACCGGGCACCGCGGCGACGCTGATTGGCGACTCTGGAAACTGGACACCCAGTGAGAGTGAGAACTGGTGTCGCGTCAGCAGTATCCAGGAAGAGGGACCTGACACGGGTTGGGACAGGCAGAAGTGAAACTCAGGCAGAAGGGGAATCCCCTATGCTGAGTTTTTTGGTCTGGGACTTGGCCCTTGGGACTGACACCCTGAGAGCCACGCCCGGGGCCCGGCGACATTGCCCTGACCCCTCTCCTTCTGCGCCGAGCGCTCTTTGTCATACTGTCTCCCTGAGTCCGGGCCCAGGAGCTGTCAGAGGAAACCAGGGAGAGGCCCCCCAGCCTGGTCCCAGCCCCTGCGCCTTCTCTTCCCGGGAATCCCTCTTCCCGGACTAGACTCCCTGCCTCCTACTCCTGTCCTCTTCCCCTGGACTCTTCTAGAAGAAAACTCACCCCAAGGAACTGGATGCCAGAGTGAGCTCGCCCTGGGCCGGAAGGTGTAGAGATGGGGTTTTTTTCTCTTTAAACCCTGAGAGGTTGTGTCTAAATGTACCACAGAGAGACTCTATCATAGAAACGAGTTTCCTTTGTGTTTATTGACTAAGGTAGGCAACACAATCTTGGAAATCCCTGATGATCAGGAATCTAAGGTGTAAAAGAGGTGAGTTGGGCCCCTCCATATATAAATGTGTCCATATATAAATATATGGACATATCTTCCATATATAAATATATAAACCGTTACAGTTAGACTCACTACGCTCCCAAATTTTACTTTCCCAGACAGTGTGCCTTGGACTCCTGAGTTGTTGTATTTTAAAATTGTCTTCGTTCTGGAGTCCTAAGTCTGTGTGTGTGAGTCCAGGATATCACCTCATACCAAGAAGCACAATCTGTTCCTGTCTATTTCAGCCAGGAGTTGTAGGACTTTAATTACTTCAAAGTAGCTCGTGCTCAGTAGGGATGCCCCTCACCCGTGCTCACGCCTTGCCTGTTTTTATGAATTATTCACATCTAAGCTGTGTGTGTATATTTTGGAAGGACAGTTGATATTATTTAACCTGTTTAATATTATAAGGCAATTAGCATTTAGGCAGGCCCACAATGTATTAGTTATGAAATGCAGGCTGCTGGAATAGCAAGAGCGAATTATGGAGCTACACTTGTGGAGTAATTACCCCCTTGGAATGAAGATCTGGAATTAACTGCAGATGGGCAGCGGTCTGGAGTCCAGTAAGAAGGCATTGCAGCATGTGATCTCGGCGGGTTCTACCATCTCGGCCAGTGGGGGTGTCTGGCTGGTATTCTTACATTGGCTCATTTAATGGGACAGCCTCTGCCCCGACTGGCATGGTGTGTTCCATTAGATGGACTTAGCATGTCCCTGAGTCTCTGTCCAGACAGGTTCCTTTTCATCAGTAGTGAGAGTAGAAGCCAGAATAACAAAAAGGTCATGCCAGGTCAAATCATATGCTTGTGTAAGATAGCGAAACTCTTTGGTGTAGGCCGTGGTGTCGTTAGAAAAGGAACCTAAACGCTTTTCAATCTGAGAGAGATCAGAAAGGAAGAAGGGAACATGGACGTGCACGATCCTTTCATCACCAGCTGCCTCTCACAGGGGGCAGAGAAGGGTTTGGCCTGAAGGTCCTGCGTGGGAGCGAGTGTGGTGACTAACGGGGGACGTTGGCAGAGAGCCAGCACTGAGCAGTAGGGGAGGATTGCGGGGTACTAGGAGGAGGAGAAGGAGGATCCAGGTATGGTGGAGGCCGAGCAGGGGAGAGATAAGGGAGTCAGGCAGGTCAGAGAAGGCGAAAGAGGTTTCTAATGGGTCCTTCAGCTGAGAGGTGGAAGAGGCCCAGGATGGCAGAGAATTCCGCACAAGGATGATAGGAGGGGTCACAGGTCTGACAGAGGGAAGGACAGGAGCGCAGATAGAAGAAAGACTGGACACAAGGGATCTCCTCCCATTTGTCATTTCGGTGACAAATGTTATTGAAGTCTTGTATGATTTTAAAATTGAAAGTCCCATTTTTAGGCCGCTGTGACCTATTGTCTAATTTGTACATCAGCCAGGCAGTGTTACAATAGAAAAAGAGTTGCTTGGGCCGAATATCAGGCTTGAGGCCCAGGGCTGCAAGATTGGCTATGAGACAGCCCAGAGGTGTGCTAGATTTGATTTTGGAGGGTTGACTGCCCACGGTGTTCTAGTCCAATGAGGGAAGGATGAAATCTGGTAGCCGGCATCTCAAGTCACCAATAAGGCCTTGGAGAGAAGGCTCTGAGCCTTGGAAAGGACCGACTGAGTGGATCAGGCATCCTTGAGGCACTCAGGTCCTTATGAATCCTTACAGATGGAAGAACTGACTGAGGGGCTCAGGTGTCCCCGAGACACTCAGGTCCTTATGAATCCTTACGGATGGAAGGACTGACTGAGGGGCTCAGGCGTCCCCGAGACACTCAGGTCCTTGTGGTGGAGGATCTCTCACTTGGGCCCAAGGTTTTATGGACAGAGACCCTGGAATGGACTCACTGGGCTAGGAACACAAGGGCAGAGGGACTTAACTAGGCCAATTAGAGGACTGGCATTTGGTGGAGGTCCCTGTCCGAGGTCAGGAAGACACAAGAGGGGACGGCGTGACCACGGCCCTGAGGCAGGTCAGCACAGCCAAGATTCCCCTCCCGGGTTTTGGCACCAAATGTAAGGTTTTTCAGGGGTGTCGAAAAGAAAAGAAAGACAAAGAGAAAGAGTGGGGCCAAACTACATGGCTTTATTTAGTGCTCTCCGACGAGGTTCTGGGGCCCCAAGAGAGGGGGACTCCAGAAGTCGCCCCCATTTGAAGGGGGTGTGTTCTTTTATACTGTTTGGGCAGGGTAGGGACTTTTGGCTGGAAGAGCTCCGGGACCTTTGGTGGTCATTGAGAAATAGGAGGGGCTGGCGGTATTTTCGGAATCCAGGAGCCGAAACGATATCAGGGTAGACATCTGAGTGTGATTTTTCTCAGCAGGGTCTGGTAGTTTGTCCTTGGCGGTTCTGGTCTCGAGAGCCTTTCCTTTTTGATCTAGGGAGGGGAGGGGGGGGCCCGGCCACCAGCCTTACACCAGCTACCTGGGAGGCTGAGGCAGGAGGATCACTTGAGCCCAGGAGTTTGAGGTTGCTGTGAGTTAGGCTGACACCACCGTCACTCTCTCCCGGGCAACAAAGTGAGACTCTGTCAAAAAAAAAAAAAAAAAAAAAAAAAATCCACTTGGCAACTGCAAAACCCTGCGCGCTCTGCAGCATCCAGTGTGAGTTTCCTCAGCCTCACAACACGGTAGACAAAGAACCAGAGTTGAAAATAAACGCGACCTTACTTGTTCTTGGCGTCCACTCTCCTTACCGAATGCAGGAATGCGATTCCATCGCCAGAAAATTCACAGAGACAGATTCAGACCGTGACAAAGTGACTTGGAAGAGGACCTCGCAGCAGAATCCCCTGGTAACCTGCAAAGTGCTGAGGCGCAGAGGAAGGCGCAGCCCTCCTGGCCTCCCGGCCCGGCCTCGGGGCGGCTCGGGCTTGGGGGCGTCTCCATGCAGGACGTCTGCGTCCTGGAGCTCGCAATGGAGGCCGTCACGGAGGACGCAGGCGGGCCTCGCGTGCACTCGGGCGCAACATGCGCACCTGAGCGAGCAGCCCCGTCCCCCCCGCAGCCGGCCGCCGAAGGAGCGCGAGGGGCGGGCGCTTGCCATCGCCTGGTGTTGCCCTGCGTGGCGCTGAGCGCTCCGAGCCCCTGCCGGCTCCCGCGCTACCCCGAGCCCGCGCCCCGCACCCGCCCCGGCTGCGCTTCCCATTTATGGGGCAGTCTCCTCCTGCTCGGCGGCGCAGCAGATGCCCAAGTGCCCGGGTGCCAGGCCCGAGGGGCTTTCCAGATGCGTAAGCCACGCCCGGCCTGCCGCTCCAGGTATCGGGCATCCTGCGGGCGGCCAGGGTGGCTGGGCAGCCTGGGAGCAGGAGGACGCGGGCTGGAGGACCCAGGCAGGTAGCGCTGGTTGGTGACCAGGGCCTGGAATTCAATCAAGAGCAGACTTGGGGCAGCACGGGGATATCTTGAGGACCCCAGGTCATTACCACCTAGGGGCTCGGACCAGGGCTTGTTCCAATTCTGTGCAAAGACCACCAGAGTCAGGAGGGGCTGCTGCGTGACCTCAACCCTGTCCCTTGCCCTCTCATGCCTCAGTTTACTCTCCAGGGACGGGTTGGAGCAGGATGTCTGGGGCCCCTTCCAGGCGGCCATTCTGAGACTCCTCACCTCTCTCTCTCTGTCCCCAGCAAGGGCGAAGGACTCAGGCTGAGGAACTCAGCTGGCCTACGGGTGGCTGGCGTCTCCACAGTGGAACTTCATGAAGATGGCTGGAAGGTCCCACCGGGGCTGCTGGCCTGTGTCATCCTGGGCACAGGTCGTGACCAGTGAGGCTCGTCCCTCCCCTGGCCTGGCTTCCGAGCCCTGGGGTGGTGGCCTTGGCTCAAGGCCATCAGGGTTCAGCTAGACCCTGTGCCACCGGGAGGAAGGTCAGCCCCCTTCCAGGGGTCAAGTGTCCTGACCCCTGTCCATGTGTGCCCCCTGCTGCCCCCCAGGTCTGGCCGCCAGGCTGTGTCTGTGGCCTCCCTAGTGCTGGCTGCTGGCCTGGGGGCCTGCGAGGCTCTGGCTGCTCTTCCCTGTCCTGTTGGCCCTGCGACTGCCCCATGGGGGGCTTCAGCAGGGAGCCCCCAGCCCTGGCACCACTCCCTCCTGGGACCCTGCACACACGCGTCACCTGCAGAAAGGGGCTCATCCCGGGCTTCAGCTCGTGAAGAAGGGAAGGGCAAAGGTGGCCGGGGGTCCACACACTGTGGGGTGGGGGGCGCGTCTGGATCCGAGAGTCCCCGGCTCTGCCTGGGCCTACAGTGTTGCCTCCCCGGGCTGGTTGGCAGGGGTGGGGGGCATCTGAGCCAGCTCTCTCCGCAGCTGGGTCCCTCAGAGCTGGCCCCTACCTGCCCTACTTCCTGGAGGCCAGCCTGAAGGTGGCAGCCTCAGTCTTCCTGCTCCTGATGGCGGTTCGCTGTCGACGCCCCCCGTCCTGCTGCTGAGAGCCATGGCCACGGGCCTGGTGTCCCTGCTGAAGGTGACTGTATCCAGCCACGGAGGGGACTCCAGGATAGGTATTTAAGTGAACGAGAAGAAGTGAAATACAGTGCTAGGCTGTAATATCTTTGTCTCTCCAGATGTCAAAAACTAAACAGATAAACTAGAAACTAAATAAAATAGTTACCTAGAGAGCGTTCCTTGAATGGGCCTTCTTAAGCAGTTTGGTTTTTATATGTTCTGTATATTCAAAAATAACACAGCAAACCTCAAAATTGAAAACATCAACATGAATGGACGTAAGATTGATAAAACCAAGCACGTGGCTCATGCCTATAATCCTAGCTCTCTGAGAGACCGAGGCGGGAGGATCGCTCAAGGTCAGGAGTTCAAAACCAGCCTGAGCAAGAGCAAGACCCCCGTCTCTGCTAAATATAGAAATAAATTAATAGGACTATAGATGTGTGTGTGTGTGTATATATATATATATATATATATATTAGCTGGGCATGGTGGTGCATGCCTGTAGTCCCAGCTACTTGGGAGGCTGAGGCAGGAGGATCACTTGAGCCCAGGAGTTGGAGGTTGCTGTGAGTTAGGCTGACGCCATGGCACTCACTCTAGCCGAGGCAACAGAGTGAGACTCTGTCTCAAAAAAAAAAAAAAAAAAGATTGAGAAAACCATAAAGAAAAAATGTTATTATGAAAATATACCTAACATGAAAAAATTATTTCAAATGACTTTAAAACAGTAAATCATTCATTCAACTAGCTCCTACTGCTAGACATTGAGCTGCTCCCAATCTTTTTTTAAATAGCTTTACTGAGATAAAACTCACTCACCATATAATTAACCCATGTGAAGTGTACAATTCAGTGGTTTTGGCATATAAAATATTTTTTTAGATAGTTGATAAAATATATATGTGGCTTAAAATTTGTCATTCTACAACTTTTGATGGCATTAATTCCATTCACAACACTGCAACCAACACCACTATCCACTTGCAAAACTTTTCCAACACCCCAGACAAATTCTGTGATCATTAAAGCAACAATTCCCCATCCCCATCCCTGAGCCCACGGGTCTGTGATCTACTTTGTATTTTAACCATGTCACCTCGGGTGAGGCAGGGTGAGGCCAGGCACAGATCCAAGGTAGAGGGTGGGGCTGACAGGAAACCTGTGTGTCCCAGACCAAGCTGGGAACTAGGAGAGACACAGGACAGTAAAGGACTTATTGTACCAAGTTCCAGCAAGGGAGGCAGGGCATGCCACGCAGGGGCCACAGTGCCGTGGTGGGGGGACCTAGGGAGCACCCTCTTCCTGGCCGGCCGACAGCTAAAAAAAGTGAGGCCCGGGAAAAACCCTCTTGGGGTCTGCGTGGAGCAGAAACCACCAGGCGAGAGATCTCACTGGCGATTCGTTTCCACGTCAGCAGCTCACAGTCAGGAGAGTATGAGAAACACCTTGTAGCAGGGACCAGGCTCATCACAGGGGAGACCACAGAGAAGTGGGGATGTTGTGACATCCAGAAATCCAAAAGTGGATGGTCGCAGTGGCTCACACCTGTGATCCTAGCACTCTGGGAGGCCAAGGTTGGGAAGATCATTTGAGCTCAGGAGTCTGAGACCAGCCTGAGCAAGAGAGAGACCCTGGGTCTACAAAAAAATAGAAAAATTAGCTGAGGTTGGTGGCTTGTGCCTATAGTCCTAGCCACCTGGGAGGCTGAGGTAGGAGTATTGCTCAAGCCCAGAAATAAGAGGCTGCAGTGAGCTGTGGTGATGCCACTGCACTCTAGCCTGGGTGACAGAGCCAGAGCCAGACCCTGTCTTTAAAAAAATAGAAGTTCTGTGTGACACCAAGGCCAGGGAGTAAGCAGTCCAGATGGGAAGCTGTATGGGGCATAAGGCATGGGGAAGACACTAGTCCTCCCCTGGGGTGAAGGGGTGAACTGATATGGGGTGGATGCCTCCTGGGGAAACCACAAATGCCATCATTTATAACAGCACAGAGAGTAGTAACCTCTGTCAGAAACGCCTACAAAGCATGGGGTGCACAGCTGTATGTTTTGGCCCACACAATGCAGTTTAGACTAATCCCATCTTTGGTGTCACTGGCAACAATTAAAGGTGGCAACAGGGGCCAAATGGCAACACTCATCCTCACCAGAAAACCACTCCACAAGCCACTCCTCTAAACAAACACACACAAGATCAAGGTACACAGGTCTCTTCCACCCAGGATCTACTGTTATTATCCTCGAGTTCCATGATCACCACTGAATGACTAACTGCCAAAGAGGCATCAGGTCGTTGCAGCCCTGAAGGCCATAGAAACCGTAAGCCAAGGTTGCTGGAGTGTCAGAAGTACACAAATTGGGATCACTCAGACTGAAACCTCATGGTGCTGCCTATTTGTACATTCAGGAAGTGTCAGTGATAATGTAAGCACAGTGGTACACCATGACCAGCCTTGTTCACGGGAGTTTTGTGTTTTCATAGTACACAGATGGCATGACTTACCACCCAAGCAGGTCATATTGCCAGTCCTGGTGGCTGCTGCACATAGTATGGTTGCTTTGCCAAGCTATGGACAGGATCCAGGGATCAACAAGAACATTCAAGGTTCTCGCAGCCACCTGTGCTGCCTGATGGCACAAGATTCCCACCTCCCTGGGTGCAGGGGCTACAGGTCTCCCTCCAGGGTCATGAAATCGGGATGCTGTGTACTATTACCACACCCCTTTCTCCCCTCTGCCCCTCCTTCCACCTTGATCTCTTATCTGTAAGGACCAGCTGTGACGGAGGAACAAGACTATTTTTATGACAATTAGGTCTACCTATGTCCCCACCTTGGCCAATGTGAGCCACTGTAGCTGGATGTGTATGAGCATGACAAGCCAGAGACTGCACACTGCTACAGTAGGATTAAGTAGGAAACCTGGCTAGGTGTGGTGGCTTATGCCCTGTAATCCTAGCACTCTGGGAGGCCGAGGCAGGAGGATTGCTTGAGCTCAGGAGTTGAAGACCAGCCTGAGCAAGAGCAATACCCCATGTCTACTAAAATAGAAAAATTAGCTGGGCATGGTGGCACGCACCTATAGTCCCAGCTACTTGGGAGGCCGAGGCAGTAGGATAGCTGGAGCCCAGGAATTTGAGGTTGTTGTGAGCTAGGTTGACATCACGGCACTCTACCCAGGGCTATAGAGTGAGAATCTGTCTCAAACAAAAAAAGTACGAATTCTAAAGGCCACTTATTACAGGCTGCAACTGAGAAGGTGCAGCAACTAGACTCGAATGGTGTTGCTATAGGGGAAAGGAAGATATAACACTCTAGGAATGACCATACATGTTCAAAATACATCTAGAGAACCACCCAGAAACTAGTGTGTCTGTCAGCAAACAGGATTTCAGGACTCAGGGAGCAATTGTCATATCCTGTCCCTTCAGTTTCTGCTGAGTGTGAAGCACTGTGTTTGCTAAAGGTTGACAAATAATGTAATGCAAAAAGTGATGACTTTCCATCATTTTTTTCCCCTTTGTAAGTCCTTTCTCCACTGTGAGATCACAAGTGAACATTGTTTAGCATAACTACAACTTTCCACATATCACATATCAACAGGGTAGTTCAGCAGTCCAAGATTCACATATTTAGGAAAACCCAAGGAAATGGTGAAGGCTTTCTGTGTTTCTTATGTCACACAGGTCCACAGTGAGCTCCTCCATGCCGGACTATGATCGGATTCCAATGGCTCTCCCGTGTTCCTGAAACTGACGAGGGATCTCAAGAGTGTATGTCCATGTCTCCAAAGTGAACTAGCACAACTGAGGGCTTTTCCACATTCTTCACATTAATGAGGTTTCTCACCAGTGTGAAGTTCGGAGTGATGATTAAGGCATGAAGAATTCCTAAAGGATTTTCCACATACCTCACATTCAAAAAGCTTCTCTTCAGTGTAATTTACTAAATGTTCACTTAAGAGATAAAACCTATTGTAGACTTTTCCACATTCCTTACACTATAGGCTTTCTGCCCTGTGTGAATTCTTATATGTTTATGGAGGTGTGAAGAAGCACGGAAGGCTTTCCCGCATTCTTTACATATATATGGTTTCTCTCCAGTGTGAGTTCTTATATGTTCAATGAGGTGTGAGGAAGAAGCAAAGGATTTTCCACATTCCTTACATATATAGGGCTTCTCTCCAGTGTGAGTTCTTACATGCACAATCAGGTGTGAGGAAGTCGTGAAGGCTTTTCCACATTCTTTACATTCATAGGGCTTCTCTCCAGTGTGAGTTCGTATGTGTTCAGTTAGGCTTGAAGAAACAGTGAAGGCTTTTCCACATTCTTTACATTCATAGGGTTTTATTCCAGTGTGAATTTGAATGTGCTTATTCAGGCATGCAGAGTTTCTAAAGGATTTTCTGCATACCATACATTCAAAGGGCTTCTCCTGTGTGTGAGTTTTTAAATGTTCATTTAGTAGATAAAACCTATTGTAGGCTTTCCCACATTCCTTACATTCATAGGGTTTCTCTCCAGTGTGTGTGCGTTCATGTTTAGAAAGGCCTGAGCGCCCAGTGAAGGCTTTTCCACACTGCTTACATTCATATGGTTTCTCTCCAGTATGAATTCTTACATGTTCCGTTAAGCTGGAAGAAACAGTGAAAGCTTTCCCACAATCCTTACATTCATAGGGCTTCTCTCCAGTGTGAGTTCTTATATGTTCAATAAGGCCTGAGGATGTACAGAAGGCTTTCCCACATTCCTTACACTCATATGGCTTCTCGCCAGTGTGAGTTCGTATATGTCTAGTGAGGCCACAGCGCACAGCAAAGGCTTTCCCGCAATACTCACATTTATAGGGTTTTACCCCAGTGTGAATTCGAACATGGTTATTCAAGCATGACGAATTTCTAAAAGATTTTCCACATACCTTACATGCAAAGGGTTTCTCCCTCCTGTGAGTTTTTAAACACTCAGTTAGTAGATAAAATTGACTGTGGACTTTCTTACATTCCTTATGTTCATAGGACTTCTCTCCAGTGAGTATTTGATCAGAAAAGCCTGAATGCCCAGTGAAGGATTTTCCACATTCCTTATGTTGATGAGGTTTCTCTTTGCTATGAAGTTTTACATGTTCAGTTAGGCTGGAAGAAATAGTGAGAGACTTCCCACATTCCATAAGTTCATAGGGTTTCTCCCCTGTGTGGATTTGCATGTGAATTTTAAGGTCGGAAGGAGATCTGCTAAATTTTCCACATTCCTTACATACATGGACATTCTTTGTAGTATGCATTTCCACAGGCACAGCACGGCTCGTGAGGTCAGTGAGGGCTCTCCCGCACTGCTTCTCTCCATAGAGTTCTCCAATGTGAGTTCTCACCCGTGCCTGAAGGTAGGACTGATCAAGGAAATCCTTCCCACTGTCACTGCAGTCCAAGGATTTGTCTCCCTTGCGCGTTCTATGGTAAACAACATCTGGAGTCAAGCTAAAGGCTTTTGCACATGGATTAAACACAGGTAGTTTCTCTCCAGTAGAGATTTTCTTGTGGGGAATAAAATACTTCCCACACTGATTAGAGATGGGAGTGTTCTCTGTACCTTGAATTTTCGTGTGCGTGTTAAGGCACCAGTGCTCAACAAACATTTCTCCACACTGCTCACAGTCACAGGGTTCCCTTCCATTGTGGGTTCCTGCCTGTGGATTTAATGGATTTAACAACGATTTAATGGATTTTTGAGACTTATTTACAGATTTCACCCCTTGAAGACAAAAACATTATTGTGATGATTATGATTTTTCTCATTTTCCTTACATGCACAGTTTTTGCCCTGTAGATTTCTTTCAAGTTGAATGAAGGAAACTTATTGCAAGGATCCTGTGTCATCTGCTCTAACCTTCGATAGATTTCTATGTATTTTCATAAAATTGTTTTAAAACTTCCAATAGCTAGTTACATATGTGGTAATGAGTGTTGCAGGGAACTCTGAAGCCCCAAACTAGATTTAGGGAATCCCAAATCCGGCACATCCAGAGCACCATCTAGAGACATTCCTCCCCTCAGATGGATGCTGCTCCACTCAAATCTCTTTCATTTGTGCTGCCTTTCTATAATGGACTTTCCAATCTTTTCTGAATGTGGCAAATATAAAATATCTCTCATTCATCTTACCGTCTGAATCCCATTTGATGTTTTTAAACAAATAATATCCTGCCAAAGTGCTGACCCCTCGGTTTTCAGTTGACATGCTAAAGTAAAACAGAAAAAAATACAAGGGTTTGCAAAACAAAATGGTAGGTCCAATAAGTTAAAAATGTTAATGCTCATTTGCATTGTTTTCATATTAAACACGTTAGAAAAATAAAACCAAGACAGACTTGAGCAGTTCAGCTGTGTCTAAAATTTGGCCATCAGACTTGGGGTCAAATTCAGTAATTTTTTAAATAGTTTATTCTACAAAAATTAAATGTGAAAGTGAACAGAAACAGTACTACCAAGGAAGGAAAGTAAGAAGGCTGGAACAAAGACCATACATTAAAACCAAAAACTCAACAAAACAGGAGGTCATCTGTGAGATCACAGAGAAGTCTGCATCAGATGGAAAATAGAGAAATATGGGAAGATGAAGATACCCTGAAACTTCCAAGTCCAGTGGCCTCATGGTACATCTCAAGGAGATTCCTCGTTATACTTCCAAACACACTGAACTTCTCATTGGCCAGGGATATCCCTCACAAACACTTACCATGGAGCTCTCCCCTCTGCACTGTCATCCACTCCTCTTCCTCCAGCCAACAGATCACGCTGGGTTTGAACAGGCGATTCCCTGTACACAGGGCAAGACACATCAGTGAAGGCGGCTCGTGCAAGATATGACAAATCTACCTAGGATTCAGGAACCACACTTCTAAAGCAAATAGAGAAATTATTTCAGAACAGCTCAAAATGCAAGTACCCCATCTTTCTGTGCCCTGAAGAAACTGGTCATTGCTGACCCTGATACCCGCATTCAGGCTCTAGTACATATCTAAAAAACAGGAAGATGGACTAATCCTAGCACTCTGGGAGGCTGAGGTGGGAGGATCGCTTGAGACCAGGAGTTTGAGGTTACTGTGAGCTATGATGATGTACTGCACTCCAGCCTGGGTGACAGGGAGAGCCCTTGTTTAAAAAAAAAAAAAAAAAAAAGACTTTTATTCAAATAGAAAACAATGTAAGTGCAAAAAGAGATCTTCCCTCACTTGGGAAATCACTACCCAGTGGTTCTCAACTTTGGAGGGAGTCAGATTCATCTGGAAGGCTTGTTAAATACAGAGGACAGGCCCCAGCAGCACATTCTGCTCTGACTCAGTGTGTCTCAGGTAGAGTCTGAGTATGTACGTTTCTAACAGAATAACTCGATGCTCTTGATCCCAGGACCACAGTTTGAAGATCACCACACTAGATTAAAACCCATCAGTGCAGTGACTGCATCTCTGTAATTTTCCACTGTGTGCAGATTTGACATCGCCGATCCTGGAACACAGCAAGTGCATAATATGTACCTGTGCCACAGGAGGCCACAAGGAGTGATGGCAGTCTTACCTACTGAGGCCAGGTTCCTGTAGTTCTCCAACATCACGTCTCTGTACAGGTCTCTCTGCGCTGAGTCCAGTAAAGCCCATTCCTCCTGGGTGAAGCCCACAGCCACGTCATCAAAGGTCACCGAGTCCTGAGTCATCACACACACACTGGTCTGAGGCACGTGACACATCCATCAATATTCAGTGGGGAATTAGGAGGTGGGGCCCAATGCCTACGTGGCACTGTGAGGGCTCCATTGTCCACACTGGGGTTGGGTGGTCCTAGGAGCTCTTCCCTGTCCACACTCATGCACCGTTTAGCTCCTCCAGTCATTGGCTTTACTGGCACCTTATACAGTGACTCATCTCACCACAACTAGACTGGGGCTCTTCTCATCTCATTTCCCTCTATTGCAGCACGATCCTGAGCACCTTACAAACACTTGATAAATGGTGATGAACAAATTAATACCTGGAGAAAAAGACACTCCCCCCCCCACCATGTGTCAGAGCACGCAGCAAAATAAGGAACATGCACTTCGCACCGTGAGGGTCAAAATAATGTTGAAATACTGGGATGATTTCCACAGCAACACTGTCCAATATGGATGCTCCAGTGCCTGTGGAAATTCAACTAGAAACATGGTCCTTGTGTGGGTAGAAGCCATGGAGACAAATCTACTTGGTAGACGCAGTATGTCATTGTCAGAAAAACACACTTGCAGCATACCTGATAATTTATCAGACAGTCAGCCACCATCCTTGCTGCCTGTGTCTTTTCTTCATGAAGGAAGATCAGGTCACTGGAAACACGACCTCCTGGAAAAGAAGGAAGGGTGAGAACCCAGAGCTGATGGTGACCCGCATGTTCTCATGCCTGGAAGTCTTTCCGTCCTAGTAGGAAATTCCCATATTATGCTGTACACTCAAGCGTGTGTGCGCGGGTGTATGCATGTGTCCACGTGTGCACACACACACACACTTGCTATACATTGCCAGCACAGTCTGTCTCACCTAGAGACAGAAAAAGGGCTAGGGAGGCATGCTGCCCTTCGTGAATTGTAACAGTCTCATGGTACAGGTAAGGGAACTTAAGCCCTGAGACAAGAAAGTCTTTATTCACCCATGGCGAGAAAACTCACAAAGGAGATTATGGGTCACGTCTTCCCAAAGCACACACGCCAGGGCCGACGTACACAATGGCACGCTCTGGCACACGTCAGCACCTCCAAAATGCACCAGGAGCGTGACTGCTCCGGCCCAGACCACAGGACTCTGTACTGTGAAGTTACCAACACAGATCCTCTGAGAAGAGCACGAGCAGGACTCACCCTGGGACAGGCCGACGGCTGCCATTCCGTGAGGATGACGGTGAGACACGTCAGAATGCTCCTTCCCTGGACGCCAAGCACACTCAGGAAGGCAGTGAGTGTAGACGGATGGCGCAGTCTCCTCCCCTCTTGACACAGGGACCTCTGGAATCCTACTGCCATCAGCCACACTCAGGAGCATCATTCCTCAGTCATCAGACTTCACACAGTGGCTCTGTTTCTGCAGGTGAGACATACGAAAGCCACTGAAACCAGTTTACTCCAGGAGTATTAGTAACATCAGTCACCATTCACTGAGGTGCAGTATGTGTCAGAACACCAGGCAGGAGCCTTATATATATGAGCTCCCTTAATTATCATCACAGCCCTTAACAACCCATGAGCCCCTAACAGCTAATGAACCAGATCTGGAGAACACCGATTGGCCCCATGTCATCTGCTGAGGAAGTGATGAATCAAGACCTGAACACAGGTTAGTCTGTCTCCAAAGCCTGGAGTCCTGAGCTTGTTGTTACTTTTCACATGATGAAGAGCAGGGCTAGAATTTTCTATTTTTATTCTAACACTGAAGGGACTAAAACCCTGAAATTTCACAGTGTCATAAAAATATATCTATACTCCCAATATTAACTGTACTTACTACCAGGTGTCTCAAACTGGGGGTTCCTTGGTGAAAGGCCCACAAATGTGTTTAGTTTGGTGGCCCCTACTTAGACTCTTTACCCTTTTTAAAAATGAGATACAAATACTATATAATCATTTATCTGGTTTTCTGCCATAACATAGTCTCCAGAGGTTTGTTGCTGAATGAAACAGCGTACTGGTACATGATGCTGACACTACGTTGATTAGATCCAAGGGCACAAAATAGAAAATACTTTAGATTCCTTTATAATAAATATGGAAAATTGAGGGCTAGAGATTCAGAAGCCTCGGTTTCTGTGGGCTAGTGGCCTGGATTGTGAAAAGACAGCCCCTCCACATTATTGCACCTCATGGCACCTATGACAGAAAAAGAAGCGCACTGCTCCACAGACCTTCTGAAGGTTAGGGGCAACATCTGCAACATCTGACTGTGCTCTAACTACACAGTGGCCTGTCAGGCTTCCTAGTTGCAAACGTGGACCAGAGTAAGTTAAGGCTGGAAGACAAACTTCTCAACTTTGTCTAAATGATCCAGCAGACCCAATGATATAAGAGTGTCCATGGGAACAGGTGCTGGCAAGTGCCGACAGCAGACTTAAAGCACAGTGCTCTTGCACTTGTAATCCCAGCCCTCTGCAGGCAAGAGCTGGACTTCTAAGAAACAGCCTGTGGCTTGACCCTGTGCAGCATGCAGTAGAGAAGGAACACCCAACCGAGGGACAGGAAGCAGTTAACGGCGACTTAAGGCCCCCAAAGCATAAAGCACTTAGTATTGGCTGTTTGCCAACCTCTCCTCTGGACCCAGTTACAACTTTACCGCAAATAGCAAAAATGAAGGAATATTTAAACGCACCTTGAGAATACAATCAGAAATATCTGATTGCATGGATTTGTCAAGAGAAGTGTGACTCTTCAAAACTCAATGTTAATAAACAAACTACAGTAACTGCTTTATTTCAAACAACACTAAAAGACAAACAACACGAACATACAAACCTTGAATGGGTTTTAGATCCCAAATCACCCAAGAACCTATGTTGGAACAATGGGGAGAATTCTAGTTATTACAGCAGACATTAGGTGACATTATTTTTCATTTTCTTAGGTGAAACGTTGAAATACTAATATTGTCATTTTAGTAGTACAACGTCTATCTTTGGTAGATGCCTTACTAAGTATTTAAGGGTTAGGTATCACGTGTGCAATTCATTCTCAACCTACTTACACTCACACAATAATAGTTCATCATAAAACGTACTTATTTACCTGGGAGAGAGAAACATGCACATGCTAAACATGAGTAAATCCAGCACAACTGCACCGTTTGTTAAAATTTTCAACAGACTCAGATTTTTCCAAAGAAAAGCATGAGTACGGGTACCTAGTCTGAGCCCGCCGGGACCGGGCAGGCCGAGCCTTCTCGGTTTCCTTTCCTATCAACAGGAAGGTTTGTGTCCACACATGCTTACGTTTGTTCACGTACACACGCACACCTTAGACACCCGCGAGCCGGCTCGTCTCCCTCCCCGAAGATACCATGTCAAAAATAAACACAAATGGCAAAGCCGAAGCCGAATTCTCAGCCGCCACCGGGAAGGGAATGACCATCGCACAGCTGAACCGGCGCCGGAAGAGCCCGGAAGAGCCCGGAAGAGCCCGGAAGAGCCCGGAAGAGTCGGCGCCGCCCTGACGTCACGTCCACTTCCGGTCTGCGGTGGGGGCGTGACAGCGTCTTCCGGCGCACGCTCCGTCCCGCCCCTCGGAAGCGCCGGTGCCAGCCGCTTCTGACAGCGGGTTCCTCGGCGTTTTCGACGCGACGACTTGTGTGGGTTGTCGCGTCTTCCTCCCGGTGGGCATTTCTGCGGGTAATCGTCTTCGGGCCGGGCCGGGACCCCGTGCTGCGCCGCGGCACAGCCCGGAGCGCGGGCGTCGCCGGGGCTACTCAGGAACGGGACCTGACTATGGCGAACCGCGGAGTTTCTGTGCGCGTAGACGCGAGATCGCGAGGAAGAACGAGCGGGGGGGACCCGGACAGCGCGGGCGGGGACAGACGCGAGGGGACGTCGGAAGCCGACCCGGGACGCGGAGGTCACGCCGGTCCGTGAGTGTTCCGGGCCGGGGGAGCGGACGCGCGGTGCATGATGGGAGCGCCGTCCGTCCGAGAGGTCACGATGGTCCAGCTGGACCGCGGCAGCGCGGAGGGATGATAAACTGCGAACGGATCGGGCATCTAACCGGGGAGCCGGCGCGAAGCAAAACTACGCAGGAGCTCAGGTGACCGCGAGGTGGCGGCAGGTCCCACGCTTGGCTCGGTGGCACCGAGCTCTGAAAAGGTGGAGGGACGAGAACTCCCGGAAAGAAGGGATGGGGGACCAGGTGACGCTCCCAGCAGCCCCCCAGGGCGTCTCTGGGTCAGGACGCTCTGAAGGGTCCTGACAGCCCCAGGGTCGTCTCACCTGTGGCTTGGACGTGGATGCAGTCGCACCGAGTCTGCAAAGCGGGCACACTCTGCGTGGCTACTCAGTGCTTGTCTAGGATGTCTCAAAGAACCGAATGTATGAAAATCTGAGTTTGGCACCAGCAGGCTATTGTGAATGATGGTTCTACGAACATTGGTGTACGAACTTCTTCGAATCCTCGCTCTGATCAGTACTTTAGGAGATATATGTAAAAGTGGAACACCTGGGTCCTATGATGATTTGAGGAACGACTATTCTGTTTCCCAGAGCTGCTGCACCATTTTACATTCCCACGAGCAATGCACAAGGGTTCCACCGTTACCACACCCTGGCCAGCACTTATGTTTATTGGGTAGCAGCCATCATCGTGAGGGAAAGCGGTGTCTCTGATTTTCGTTCCCCTAACGTTTAGTGACGTGAAGCATCTTTTCATGTATTTTGATGGCCATCTGTATATCTTTGGTGAAATTATTCAACTCCCTTTTCCATATTTGAATTGGCTTTTGTTGTTAATATTATTCTTGACTTGTAGGAGTTCTTTATAAACTCTGGATATTCATCCTTAATCAGATATATGATTTGCAAACATTTTCTCCTATTCTGTGTGTCTTTTTCATCTTTATTTACTTCCTTTGAGGCACAAAATTGTAATGTTGGCGGGCACCTCTTACCTAGTTTTCTTCTGTTGTCTGTGTGGTTGATTTCATAACTAACGAATCATTTCCAGTTCTGTGTCCATGAAGCCTTTCCCCTATCTCTTTCTCTAAGACATTTATAGCTGTTACTCTTACATTTAGGTTTTGAATCCATTTGAAGTGTACACACGCACACCTTAGACACCCGCGAGCCCGCTCGTCTCCCTCCCCGAAGATACCAAGTCAAAAATAAACACAAATGGCAAAGCCGAAGCCGAATTCTCAGCCGCCACCGGGAAGGGAATGACCATCGCACAGCTGAACCGGCGCCGGAAGAGCCCGGAAGAGCCGGCGCCGCCCTGACGTCACGTCTACTTCCGGTCGCGGGGTGGGGGCGTGACAGCGTCTTCCGGCGCACGCCCCGTCCCGCCCCTCGGAAGCGCCGGTGCCAGCCGCTTCTGACAGCGGGTTCCTCGGCGTTTTCGACGCGACGACTTGTGTGGGTTGTCGCGTCTTCCTCCCGGTGGGCATTTCTGCGGGTAATCGTCTTCGGGCCGGGCCGGGACCCCGTGCTGCGCCGCGGCACAGCCCGGAGCGCGGGCGTCGCCGGGGCCACTCAGGAACGGGACCTGACGACGGCGAACCGCGGAGTTTCTGTGCGTGTAGACGCGAGCTCGCGAGGAAGAACGAGCGGGGGGGACCCGGACAGCGCGGGCGGGGACAGACGCGAGGGGACGTCGGAAGCCGACCCGGGACGCGGAGGTCACGCCGGTCCGTGAGTGTTCCGGGCCGGGGGAGCGGACGCGCGGTGCATGATGGGAGCGCCGGCCGTCCGAGAGGTCACGACGGTCCAGCTGGACCGCAGCAGCGCGGAGGGATGATAAACTGCGAACGGATCGGGCATCTAACCGGGGAGCCGGCGCGAAGCAAAACTACGCAGGAGCTCAGGTGACCGCGAGGTGGCGGCAGGTCCCACGCTTGGCTCGGTGGCACGGAGCTCTGAAAAGGTGGAGGGACGAGAACTCCCGGAAAGAAGGGATGGGGGACCAGGTGACGCTCCCAGCAGCCCCCCAGGGCGTCTCTGGGTCAGGACGCTCTGAAGGGTCCTGACAGCCCCAGGGTCGTCTCACCTGTGGCTTGGACGTGGATGCAGTCGCACCGAGTCTGCAAAGCGGGCACACTCTGCGTGGCTACTCAGTGCTTGTCTAGGATGTCTCAAAGAACCGAATGTATGAAAATCTGAGTTTGGCACCAGCAAGCTATTGTGAATGATGGTTCTACGAACATTGGTGTACGAACTTCTTCGAATCCTCGCTCTGATCAGTACTTTAGGAGATATATGTAAAAGTGGAACACCTGGGTCCTATGATGATTTGAGGAACGACTATTCTGTTTCCCAGAGCTGCTGCACCATTTTACATTCCCACGAGCAATGCACAAGGGTTCCACCGTTACCACACCCTGGCCAGCACTTATGTTTATTGGGTAGCAGCCGTCATCGTGAGGGAAAGCGGTGTTTCTGATTTTCGTTTCCCTAACGTTTAGTGACGTACAGCATCTTTTCATGTATTTGACGGCCATCTGTATATCTTTGGTGAAATTATTCAACTCCCTTTTCCATATTTGAATTGGCTTTTGTTGTTAATATTATTCTTGACTTGTAGGAGTTCTTTATAAACTCTGGATATTCATCCTTAATCAGATATATGATTTGCAAACATTTTCTCCTATTCTGTGGGTTGTGTTTTCATTCTTATTACTGTCCTTTGAGGCACAAAATCTGTAATGTTGGCGGGGCACCTCTTACCTAGTTTTCTTCTGTTGTCTGTGTGGTTGATTTCATAACTAAGAAATCATTTCCAGTTCTGTGGTCATGAAGCCTTTTCCCTATGTCTTCTTCTAAGACATTTATAGCTTTACCTCTTACATTTAGGTTTTGAATCCATTTTGAGTTAATTTTTGTATATGTATGGTATGAAGCAAGGGTCCAACTCCATTCTTCTGCATGTAGATAGCCAGTTTTTCTTCTCCCTTCCCAAAAGTTTTATTGAGGTGTCATTGACAAAATTAATATATACTTAGGGTGTGTTGAGGAACACTTAGGTTGTTTCCATATCTTGTCTACTGTGAATATGGGTTACAGATGTCTTTTCAAGATACTCATGTCGTTTCTTTGGATATATATATATATATATATCCAGAAGCGGGATTGCAGGGTCTTAGGGACCATGATGATTTCTCATGTTTTTGAGTAAAACCTCTATACTGTTTTCCACAGTGGCTGTGCCCCAGCAACCCTTCCACATTGAATGGTCTTGGCACCACCATCCAAACCCATTTGAGTATACAGGTGAGGGTTATTTCTGGGATCTTGCTGTTGTGACACTGGTTGATATTTCTGTCTATATGCCAGTACTATACTGCTTTAGTTACTTGAGTTTTGTAGTAACCTTTGACATCAGGAGATGTGAGTCCTCCAACATTGCTCTTTTTCAAGATTGTTTTCACTCTTGGACTCCATTGAGGTTCTATATGCACATGGTGTTTTATAAGCTAATTTTGGGAGTGACCTAATATCACCTCTGCTATATTCTGCTGGTCACTAGACCACCTCTGGTAAAATGTGAGAGGATTACACAGCAGTATAAATACTGGGGAGCAGGGATTATTGAGGCCAATTTGGAGGCTGCCTAGTTTACAGGAGATTTGGCAATAGCTAAGACAACTACAGGTGAAATCCAGCTATCCTACCTCTAAGAATTTGTCCTGAATGCAAACCTTTAAAAATTAAAAAATGCTCAAGATTAGTCATTGCAGCACTGTTTGCAATGACAATTTTGAATGCCTTAAATGCCCTCCAGGAGTGGAGTAGCTCAGTGTTACCCAGTGGAGTGCTATGCAGCTATAGCAATGATCGGACGAGTGCACTGTGAACTCATGTGGAGCGATTTCCAAGGTATACTGTTAAGTGAAAATGCAAACTGCAAAACAGTATCTATGGTATGAAAGTTTTTCTTTAAGAAAAATGGATAATAATAAAATGTATATCTGTTCATATTGAATATAAGGAAACACAGATAGGATTGTTCAGAATAGTAAGATCCAGCACCTACAAAGGATGGATGGGAACAGGTTGAACAGGACAGTGGGGTGAGGACCCGGTGGAAAAGATAGGGAAAGGGGAACCCCTTTGAGCATGCCTTTCCGTCCAGTTCTGGTGATTATTCTTTACATAATGAAGGGTGAACATTTATAAGGTGCTCATGGTGTGGGTAAGAAAGAAGTCTCAAAATTTAGGATAGAAAGAAGTACAATATTAATTTATTTTCCCAGGAGAAAAAGAGAGATAGCAAGAGGGGGGAGAGAGAGAAAAAGAGAGAGAAAGACTGACTGACTGACTGACAATATTAATTTATTTTCCCAGGAGAAAAAGATAGCAAGAGGGGGGAGGGAGAGGGAGGGAGGGAGAGAGAGAGAGAGAGTGAGAGTGAGTGTATGACTGACTGACTTTGGCCATGGAACTGAAGAACAGGCAGAGGGTAGTGCCAGGCAGTTGAGGAAAAGTGGCTGAGTGGTTTTAAAGGGTAAAAATGACATTTTAAAACTCTGCTTCAGCGGACTGATAACAGAAGCAACTGTGAAGCAGTTGTAGGTGCTCTTTTTTATTTCCTCCTCTGTGAAGCTGATTTTATCTGAGCCTTGAATCTGGCTTTTGGCAGGAACTGAAGTGGGGAGTTTGTACCCCTATGGTCCACTTAGTGCTCCTCAAGGCTGAGAAAACAAAGTCTTAGAGATAACAAGTTAGGCTACAGGAGTTTTAATTAAAACAGGGGGTAGTTGTGTTGTGAGTTTCCTTTGGAGCGGCAACTATATGCTGTGAGTTCATTTCTCTTACCTTCCGTTTGATAGTTTATTTTCCTCTGTTAGGTTATTAGTAGGACCACCTTTCACATACTTAATTAAAAAAAAATCAAACAAGGACAGAGGGACAACCCAAAATGTAATATGTACAGGACCATTCGACCATAACTCTATCAAACGGGCAATGAAATGGGCACGAGAACACCGCACCCAAGCAGCCCACACCATGGCCAGAGATGAGGATGTAGAGGCGTCTCTCCTGCCTAGCAGATGGGGCTCTCTGCTTCCTGCCACTTCCTTAAAACAAACCATTCTGGCATTTGCCTATGAAATTAAAGTGACCCACACCCTGTTTCTATGCACACACACACAAGTCCTCATTTCATGTTGTCGTCGAAGATATGAACATTGAGAAGGAAGAAATATAACTGGTCTTTTCCCCAAATGACATGATCACTTATGTAAAAAAAAAACAAAGAATAGACAAAAAGCCTTCTAAACTAATAAGCAAGTATAGCAAAGTTGCAGGATACAATGTTAATAAACAAAAGCCAATCACTTTCCTGTATGCCAAGAATGAACAAGTAGAATCTGAAATTAAAAATACAATACCATTTTCATTAGCATCCCCCAAAATAAAATGCTTAAGTATAAATCCAAAAAATATATATAAAATAGATATGAGTAAAACTATAAAACTGATCAAAGAAATCAAAGAACTAAATAATTGTAGAGATATCCCATGGCAGGAAGACTCAACGTTGTCAAGATGCCCATCCTTCCCAATTTGATCCATATGTTCCATGCAATCCCAACCAAAACCCCAGGAAGTTCTTTTGTGGATATTGACAAAGTGATTCTAAAATTATTTTGGAGAAAGAAACCACCCAGAAAAGCCAACCCAGGATTGAAGGAGAACAAAGTTGGAGGACCAGTGGTGCTTGACTTCAAGGCTGATTATAAAGTAGTTCAGACATTGTGGTACCAGGGATAGGACAGATCACAGATCCACGGAACACAACAGCCCAGAAGGAGGCCTGCAAGAATATAGCCAACTGGTCTTCGACAGAGGAGCAAAGGAAACACAACAGAGCAAAGATACTCGTTTCAGCAGGTGGCTCTGGGACAACTGGACGTCCACATGCCACAGAGGGCATCTAGACACAGAGTTCATACTCTTCACAAAGTTAACTCGAAATGGAAATCAGACCTAAATGTAATACACAAAGCTATAAAACTCCTACGAGATAACACAGAAAAAAATCAAGATGACCTTCGGTCTGTTGACTCTTTAGATGCAACACCAAAGGCACAATCTATGAAAGGAAGAACGGATAAGCTGGAATTTATAAAAATTCAAAGTTTTTGCTCTGTGAAGACACTGTGGGGCATGGTGGCTGGCACCTGTATTCCCAGCTACTGGGGAGGCTGGGGCGGACAGCTAGAGACCAGCCTGGACAGCACAGCAAGACCTGTCTCTTAAAAAATAAAAAAAAAAAGACACAGCCAAGAGAATAAAAACAAAGCCACAGACCAGGAGAAAATATGCACAAAAGACTGATCTAATAAAGGACCATTCTACACAATACAGAGAGAGCTCTTGTAATTCAACAATAAAAACCCAATTAACAATGAGCCAAAGATGCGAACAGACACCTCTGCAAAGAAGGTAAACAGATGGCAGATAAGCAAATGGAACGGTGCTTCGCATTATATGGCACCAGGGGAATGCAAATTATAACATGAGACACCACTGTATACCCATTAATGGGGACACAATGAGATACCACTGCATACTTATTAGCATGGACACAATGAGATACTGCTGTATACCCATTAGTGTGGATACAAGGAGGTACCACTGTTTACTTATTAGTGTGGACACAAGGAGGTACCATTGTTTACTCATTAGTGTGGACACAGTCTGGATCACTGACGACACCAATAGGTAGCAAGGATGTGGGAGAGCAGG